AAAAAAAAAAAAAATTATAACAATATAATTGCGATATAATCACCATTATATTTTCACTTTTATTGTAAGTATAATTTTTTCCAGTTGCTGCATATTAATTTGATGTTTTATAACCTTATGAGTTATGACTCTGTGTTGTCAATTCGTATGGGTATTGGTTTATACATCAATAAGCCAAATAGCAATAATACTAATACCTATAAAACGATTTTTTTTAAATTATCCACTCACCTGTTATCGTCATCTACCCATATAAAATGTTTAGCGACACTGATTGCACTTTGGAAATATACATAATTCTTTTTTATATTTATAATATTATTTTAMTTAGAGAGATCTGAGATTGTTAAATAGAACATAAATATATTTTACTTTTCATTAATTCAGTGTACCTCTAAAAATGTCCAATTATAATTCAAACTCAAGTATCTAATAATTTTTTTATTTCACTGATTTAATGTGTCATATAAGTGAAATATAATTATTTATAGATATATATATATATATATAAAATTAATATACTTTTATTGATATAAAATAAAAAACATTATAATTTGTTTGGATTTTTAAAATCTAATATTTAACTATACTCTGGTTTAATGTGTGCTGGAAAACATAATTATTATAGTGTGTTTCAATAAGGTTTATTGGAATAAGAATACCAAATGTTATTATCACTCTGGTCGCTGTCATTTTCGATGATGGTAGATGATTGCATAAACATAATAATATCATTATTTATTAATAACATGTGACGGCGTAACGTATAGGCAATATAGATACATCGCCATGTAAAATATCAATTTTTATTATTTAGGAATGCAATTTTAATTATATATTTTACAATCTAATTGCGTATAATTTTCAGTGATTTCAATAGTTGCTGAAACTATTGATGATTGTAGAATCCAATTACCCTACATAATACCATATTGTTTTGTTTTGGTAAATATTAGATTATTCTGTATTTATATATTTTTTCAAGAAAATAAAACTATTAAAATGCAATTATTTTTACAGTGAAACTATATTATACGGTCGTTAATCGTCATCAATCATCATCTATTCGCTTGTGAGTTTTCTGATGAGAGTGAAGTCAATAACCATTAATGTTTGGATAATATAAGCCATCAAAACTGTACGTTACTCTAAGATATAAAGACTTGGGAACAGCACAAAGTGCTCAAACTTTTCTAAATCTTTTCAGTCTTTCACTCAATAATTTGATACACCTTTGCTTTTTTTAAAACGTTATCCTTGTATAGCAACCTTTAAACAAAAACTGTTGATCGACTACAAAAAGTTCATACCGTACGGAAAATTAGTAACAACTGCTTACCATTATCTCACTCCGGCAGTTGAATTTTTCGCGATCTTCCAAGAATAACAGATATTATAAGTAGAATCCCTAATTGTATGGGGTATAACGTAAATCCATTATATTATTCTTCTGTAGGCTTGATTTAAAATCACTCTGAATATACGAGTATGTGTTAACGTTTAAAAATGCGTAAATTAAAGATTCTTTGATTTCTTTGTTTTTCATATTTTAGTAAATCTAAAGTATGAAATGTAAATATTAAATATGTATACTAGCTTTATAAATAATATCATAAAATGTGATATAATAAATAAAAAAAAATGATGTTTAGATATTAACAAACATTTGGCCTCATAATGTATACATGTAATGAATATTTAAAAAGATAATTACTACGTTTATAGCTTGCTATATGTATATCAGTGTGATTTAAATTGTTTCTGTTTTAATAAATAATTAAAATCTGTGAGATAACGTTAATTATTTATTAAACTGTGTACAATTATTGTACAATTATTGTACATTATTTGCAATAAATGTGATATATGTTTCACATACAATATTTAATGTATACAAATCTGGGCCGTATACCTATGTAACTTATAAATTGTAAATATTAATTAAACTGAATACATTTGACCCTTGATTCATCAATATCGTATGGATCCAACCCTCCAAAAACTTTAGTTATTTCTGATAATTATCATTTTTCATAAGATGATGTAATTTCTAAACTGACTTTCTGTAATCACAATTTGTAATTAATATTCTGATGATACGCTATATTATTCTCATAATCAAGAAGCACTTAACGATATAACACTTAAAAATCTATTACACGTTTGTATTATTTCACAAAGACAAGAAAAATTTAATTTTGTATTCAAAATGCTCGTATAATTTATTATAGTATCATATTATTTAACTCGCGAGCAGTATAATCAATTCGCAAACATTAATACACTAATCTTACATCAACATTATGTTTTCAATATTTTAGACATTGAAGAAATATTTTATAACGTGTATTTTAATTTTTCTCGAAAAGAAAATTAACGATATTCAAAACAATCTTAATAAACTTGATGGTCTGGAATCATTCAAAATCGATTTTATACGCTCCGTTAGATTTTACACCCTTGTAAATTAAATATAGAACCGACCTTCTGTCCCGATTAATGAAACCGTCAATATAAGAATCACTCAACTTAATAGACTTAGGTAAGTATGTTTTCAATATCCTCCGATCTCCCTGAAGACTGACCAATATGCGCAAACCATATGCCGACTGGACTTTGGATATATCAGTGATTTGATACTTTCGACCCATGTCTAATGTCGATATGCTGACGAAGGCCGTGTCTGCGTTGTATAGCTTCGCCTGGAGTTTCAACGCTTTCTTTAATTCCTCCATAACTATTCGATCTGTATAAAAACACAGTTGATAATATATTAAGTAGGCCAATCCAACGACGAAATCATTATATACATATTAATGGTTACATGTACCAATAACACATTAGTGCCAATAAGCTAATGGCTATTCAAAATAAACGAAGACGAGTGTGAAATAAAATAGTACCGATTGTATAATATACAAGGTACGTTGGCGTTGAACATATTTTTTTTTCACGGAAAAATATCAAAACATCGTTAATGACTAAATCATATTTCTATTAAGCGTTTTAGAAAACTGTTTTTATTTGTTGTACGTACCGTATAATAATATTTGAACGTTCCAAACACGCGTGATAGTATAAAACGGCCAATATTTAGGCATGGGCGCGTGCTTAAAACCCAAACATTTTTAAATTAAGGTTTTTATATTATAATGATTGAAGTAGTGTTGCTTGGACACCCCCTTCTATCAAGCCGTCCAGTTTTGTAAATTATTAACCATATTACTTACAGCAGAATGTATATATTTTTCTTATTAATGATAAGAAAAAAAATATATTAAAATGTAGTGTGTATTGTATGGTTAATAATACTTGAAAAAAAAAAACAGGAGGCTTCAGTAATTCTTTCATTGAAATTGTACGCTTGGCTGTGGTAGTAGGTAGCAAAACTGCTACAGTAAAAAAGGAACTTGACAGTATAGACTTTATGTAAATACTTACTTTTGGTGCACGCAAAAATGCAGTCACCATGTAATTTTGAAAAGTTAGGAGTGATGTAAATAGAAGCCATGTGCGAGTTTTATATACATAATATACCCATGTGTGCATAATATTGAATATACATTATCAGTTATAATACAAATACAAGTCTTCCAATTTCCACGTCAAAACAAATTTAATAGTTCAAACTACAATAAAATATAATATAAAAACATAAGATAAAGTTTGTAAGAAAATTCAAAATGCATTTGAATATCTTGTTATGTCTTCCTAGTATTGTAGTGTAATATATATACATATATTATACACAATACACATACTTACTGCGTATACGCATTAAAATTATCTTCTATATTGCATAATATTATAACTTCAACAAAAACAGATCCTACGCTAAACAAGAAACAAACTGATTATAATATGATGAAACAACAATGATAAAAAAGTGTTTTTATAAAAATTGCAAAATAACGAAAATTAAAAAAACAAAAACACGAAATTTACAAAACTATTAAAGCAATAGACTCTAATTATTATTCACCTCTATCCAAAATAAATGGTACATATTATAATTATTGTTGTTTCAAATTTTAATTCAGCAATCGTCATTTTCAAGAAACTATTACAAACAATACATGCGCAGGTTATACCTACTCAAAAAAGTGCGACATATCAGTTAAATATGATGGGTAATTCAGCCATCGCTTTCATTGGTTCGTCTTTTTCCATCAGTGTTCACGATTTATTTTTTTAACCGTACTTAGGAATTACAGAAACTATAAACACAGCGTGTATTTTGTTTCCTACGTACGCGTGGTGTTGCATAAAACATTTTGCACATTGCACCTACCTACCATTTTAGTTCCCTCGAATGAAATGTTTATACAAAAAAAAACACAAAAACGGAATAATCATTGTAAAACTAATAGCTCTCTCGTTCCGCTAAGAATATAAAATAGCATGTCCACCGTGATGCCCATCTTTACGTCACATGCAGCAATATCAATACCATCAAGCAAATAGGTAGGTACTCGACTTGTCGTATTCTCAATTGTACATTATTATACTATAGCTGCCCCCGGCAATGTTTTGCTATTGCTAGACATTATTATTATTATTGTTATTTTACTAAGATTTTTTACTCATAATATTATTTTTTATATTTCTTGTACACTTTTATTTTAAATAAAACAAATAMGAAAATACGAAATTATGTATTCGGATAAATATTAATACAAAGACATGGATGATGTTATATTCTGATTTTGGTCGGCATTTCTATCAACATTTAAAATGTAAAAAATAGTTACATTGACATAACTGTAATATAGTTGGACATATTATGATATCGCCAAGTTTTTTGTAGATATTGATATACTCTTTAATATTGTAGGACATTTTTTGTTTATCATCAATTACTTTCCGCAGCGTATGTGAAGATAGAAATTTTATTACACATTTTTTTATACGTTGAGTTACATTATTGAAATTTTAGTAGGAATCCCTAGGACCCCTGATTTTTCTAATAATAAATATAGCCCGTGTTACTTCAACGATAATGTAGTATTCTAATAGTGAAAAATTTTTTGAAATTGGTCCAGTAGTTGTTGAGTTTATTCGTTACAAATATTTAAAAATACAAATCTTTCCTGTTTATAACATTAAACTATATAGAAGTATTATAGATGTAATAATCGTCGATTCGTAGAATTTATTTAGTCTTTATTTAAAGATTATTTATAATTTAAWTATTTTAATTTTCCTATTAAAAATTCCGTATATTACGTAAATTCTGTAAATTAGGTACTAAACAAGAATTTCATTCATTATTTTGACATTTCCTTAATGTGAACACAAACTCATAGAAAAACAAAGCCGAAAACGTCAATATCCGTGTTATAATAATAATAATAYCGTAATAAATCTATTCTTTATTCATCGAAACCCATCATAGGACTCCGACGTCCATAGGATTATGAATATGAGTAATAATAAGTATACTCCATTTTAAGTCTGATTTTATTACATATTATTATTATTATTACATACATACGAGTATAATAAGTCCCTATATTACAACAGTATAACATTGAAAATTGTCCTTACCACAAATTATTAACGTTCATGCAGGCAGTTGATTCTTGAAATGTTGTAACTGACCGACTGATGATCACATAATATTATAATATTTAAGACAGTGCGAGTTATTGGAAACATCGATGCGTCGATAATAATAATAATAATTGGTAGGGACGTAGCCGTAGGGTATTACCTATTACTAATAACAAACAGTAGCAGGACTTAGAACTGTGAATTGTGTTCTAAGTAATTATTTATTAATTTGATAACGATTATTGTGTTTGTAAACGTGTTATATATTTTAATAGTTTTTCGCTTTGTGCCTTAAATAATAATTGTTTAAATATTCGTTGAAGCGACGAGCGAAGTATTTATTAGATAGCATAATAATGTACTAATACCAGTTTATTTATTTTATCACAAAGTAGCATCCAGTCTGACTTATTTCCTAATATTATTCAAACTAAGTATTTAAAACCAAATACCAATAACCATTGTAGTAAAGAATACTTTTTAAATATAGTACCTATGCATAAGTACTTAATATTGTTTTATGCGTAGGTGTCTTTATTATATAACTACATTTTACAGTTTAACCATTAAAATGGCTTTATAGTTGTATTTTAAATTCAAATAATTTTATTTAAGCATTTTTTCGTCATTGTTTGAACTATYAATTATATTATTTAATGTTATTATTTTTTTTACTCARATATAAAACCAATGACSCTTTGCCATTTCAAATGAATTAATATGGCCTCTTAAAATAAACTCCAAGCATCATTGTCGATTATTTTCATCAAAATAAAGCCTATACAAATATTGTGACGTGAATTTAAAATTATAAGGTATTGTTATTATCCGCTATCGCATTACGTATGGTTTGTATTTTTGTGTACGTTCTGTGGTGTKTACGYTGTGTTTAGTATAAAATTAAAATACATAGGCACAYGGCATTTTACGAATCTATTCAAGTAGGTAAATTCTATGATATTTTTCAGAATATTTATGAAGTTTGTTGTTTGATTCCTAACCATCTGTTACAAATCATAGGTTTATACCTATATGCGCATATAGTTTTTCAGAATACACTGTACAGTTTAAATGACCCGGTTAGTCAAATGTCAAAGAATTTTACAGTTTAAATGGTTGAGTTAAAACATTTTAAAGAATAAAAATAATTCGAATTTATAATAAAAACTAAAAAGAATGCAATATTTGAAAAGTATTTGCATTTGTTCTTAAACACTAATTGATTTGAAATACTCTTTAAATAACTTTTAAGTTTACGACGTATTTTAGTATTTGTATCTCTTTTTAAATATAAAATAAAAGTATTTCATAATAGCATTTGTGAAGCACATATATAATATTAACAGGGGTGACTGGCCCACTGACCTATTGTCCTGTAGGATAGTAGATCCTTGTACTACGAGGCGCTTTATYAATAAGCAACAAGTGGCTATAACTAAAGGGTTACATTTAAAAAATCTTTATTATTATTATTAATCTGTGTTCAATACAATTGGTTTTGATTCTATGGTGCTTTGATGTATTGTCTTAAGAAGACGTCGCACTCACAAGTGTTATCTCCRTCTTACACATCACGTACTACATAGCAAATTTCCGTTCGCTAGTTTCAATAGTGTGCTGTTAGTTTTGATATTAGACTATTAGAGTGAATTTATCCATTACCAAACTTTTAGGTAATCGGTARGAYACGATTACGGCGATTGCGCCCGCCCTAACTTTTTATATGCAAAAGACGCAATAAGATTACGCCAAATAAATCAGCGCGATTGAGCCCGTTTTACCTTTTTCCCTAMAAAAAAACGCAACAGGATTGCGCTCCGCAATACAGGTGTACACTATATAAAATACAGTCGGAATGGTAAGCTCGAGGTTGAAATTAAACGTTCTAGTTAATCAAYWTCGACTGTATTAACATACGACATTATAAACATTTGTCATATTTTTGTTTTATAAACGTATTTTCCCAGTGACTGYGCAGTTATTATAACATAAAAGAGTAAAAAAGCTAAATTATAAATAATAACCCGGTATTTTAGTAATTATCATAGTGTGGTATAGTATAGTTGCAGGTTAACTATAATTTATAACTTHAGCTTTGAGCTAACCATTCCAGCTGTATTTTTAAATAGTGTATACCTAATTTCACAGAGTGCAATCGTGTTGCATTTTTTGTAGGTAAAAAGGTAAAGCGGGTGCGACACGTCGTCTTAACACTATATCTAATTCAAAAATTGTCGATTGTTATAGAATATAAAATGTCACCAATATAAAGCAGTAAAATATTGGGATTTAAAGCAACACTTAAATTGTGTAGAATTGTAGACTAACTATGAATAAGAAGTTCTCTGGATGTAGATAAATAAGTGTTATGGATATGCATTAATGTACAACAAAAAAAAGCGGGTAAGTCGTGGATGTCGCTCTTCTGTACAGTAGGTTACAAGTTGGYTACTGCTGTAATGGATGGAATTAAATTTGAATCCAATGATATTATATCATTTTATACGAAAAACAATTCTGAGCGGAGACGGCTTATCTGTCTAGGATATATTATAGATTATTAAACATTTTCAAATCTTACTAATCTTAGATTTAAAAAGAAAATTTTTTATGAATTTCTAGCTTAAAATAATTTGCGAATTTTCGCGATTTTTACATATGTTGTCAAAATTCAAACTTTGAATGCTTATAAAAAAAATTGTGACTATATATATTTATTTTATTTTTGAACTGCTATTGTAAAAATATGTTAGGAGCCTTGTATTTAAAACTTTGAATGCTTATAAAAAAAAATTGTGATTACAAATTTCTTTTAWTTATYAATTGTTATTGTAACAATTTGTTAAGAGCCTTGTATTACATTTTCAAKCTTTTCTACCCAACAAATAAATTTGTATCGATATTAATTTAAAAAAAACTAATAATAATCGAAAATTGTATATACCTATGAATAGTTCAACTTAAGTCGAACATTTTTGAAAATTGAATATATTTATATAAACATTCGGTGAAAATTTCATGTATCTACTTGTTTTAAAGTTASATCAAAAACCAAAATCGATTTTGTCGAAAACTGATTGTGCGTAAMATTTMCCGTTTTCCCCTTAATTTTTTAGTTTGTTTATCACAATTATTTAGAAAAATATCAAGATTTATTTACTTTTGACCCCCCAAAGTACCAAAGACACAAAAAAATAAATAAATAAAAACACACATCACGGTAAAATCAATACATTCATCGCTTCGCTCAGAATCTAAAAAAAAAGTAACTGCTTCTCTGGATTTATCAAAAAGGGGGCTTTTACAATTCYAGGACAGTAGGCCCTCACTGGCYCAGTCCACCCCTGAATATTAATAATATAAAATAATTAAATAAATAAACGCAATCATATAAGTAAATAAAATACACTAATAATATTGATACTACAATATACATTTTTATAAAACTGGAGAGTTTGTATATAGGTTTGAATGCGCTAATTTCAGAAAATACATGGCTGATTTCAATTAAAGTKATGCCAATAGATCCTTTGTGATTCGGAGAATGATTTTAGGTTCATTTTCAACCACTATAGAGTGTCTCACAGTTTCATACATGAATTTCATTTTGACTCTTATATGGCAAATAATTTTTATATATGTATGTTAAAGGGTCGTTATTGTTTACAGATGTAAAATATAAATAAAAAWTTTTTATAGATTAGCCATATGCGTTATTATGAATTTGAAATAAACGTATATAAATAAGTAATTTATTTCTATTGTTATTATTGAAAAGTACAACAAAAGACTATGTTTTTATGTTTGTAGCTTTTAGACTCAAAAACTACTCAACCGATTTTGACAAAAGTTTCATAGATGGTTTAGATAGTTATTGGAGATACAAGAAAAGTTTAGAAAGTAGTTTGAACCATGTTCAAAAATACACTTTGATAGTGCTATATTGAATCCGACACAGGCGAATGACCTCGGTCGAATCAATTAACAAAGCGATGCACACCGCTATCTTAAAACAGATACAAGCCGATTTAGCGTCGTATTTTATGTTTATTCATTTTTTTTTTCAGTACGAAGTCACATATACAGCCATTAAGAATATAAAATTACAAAATAAACACTTTAAATGGTTAGTTACACTTAGTAGATGATGAAGAAAAAATCCAATGAATTGTAGCAAAAAAGAGGGACCTAAAATAAAAATTTACGATAATAAGTATTGAAAAGAAAACTATTTTTACTGACTACTACTGTAGTAGTACTACATATAATGGACATAGTTAGAACAATTAACGTTTAGAGCTGAATCCAAACCAATCGCACAAACTAATGCGTATAGGTACTCAGCTCAGTGCGTTTTAGAAAAACGCAAACTAGTTGGACGACAAACAAACAGCAATATTTATCCACGAAATCGAATCTTTGTGCAGACGTACGATCCTCTTAAGACAAATCAGTACGAAATAATATACAAGTTTGAAGTTTGTAAACCTAAAATTGCTAAACGTTTAGACTGGGCTGGTCACACGAGCTTCACACGTCGTCGGACGTTAAATGTTTCGTCCGTCGTAGCACTTATTGGACGTGCTCAACTTCGAACGAAAAGTAAATGTGACGAACGTCGAGCGTGTGGCCGTCAACAATATTATAGTAATCATAAAATTCAACAACAGACCTTGTGTAACTTACGTCAATAAAATGTCATATTGTGACCGGAGCCATATTTTTGAAAATATGAAACAACGATGAATAGACTATATACGATAACAAGCAGAGTGGACAACAAAATCAATAGAAAGAAAACCATATCTAAAAAATGAGCAAATCAAATAACAAATCAATTTAAAGAATAAAATATAACATTGAGTAAATATAATGATAAATTTAAAAAAAAACACTTAGAAATAATTATCAAACTAGATATAATAATTATCAGTCTGCCCTGCAGGACTAATCATTATTATTAGACATTTAGCTATTTATAAGTTAAAACTGAAGACCAACATGAATTACGAATGGACATTTATTTCTTTACACGGCCTCATGTCATTAACAAGATTACTACAAGGATTTAAAAATAGCACATTATAAAAAATATTTTAATTATYACAAACCCACTCGCTAAGCTTATAAAAGCAGACGACTATAACAAATTATATATCAAGTTAAACATGAACAATTTATTAAAAAAATTTATAATTTCAAAACTAAAATACAAACAAGTGAACTAACCTATCTCACCACTTGTAGGTGCATCTATTACAAAGTTAGAGCTTAGATACCTCGAAATACCCCGATGGACGATGACAGTAATATTTTATATTCTGCTSTAGCAAAGAATGCCAAACTTTTTAAGTGGAGCGGAACGAACTATGTATTGATTTTACAATGATGTGTCTATTTTTTTTATTATTGTGTCTCAACACAGTTTTTCTAATAGAAAAAAATACTCTGATCACCAACTTTTGGCAGCAAATTGGATTTATAGAAGGTACTTTTCAGGAGGTCAAAATTGAAAATTCTCAGTACCTACTTTATAAAATATTCAGGAAAAACAAAAACGAAAAAATTGTAATATTGTTATTAAACATTTAAAACAATTGCTTGGTAACCAAAAAGTTAGACCACCTTCGCTTACTGTATAAATTATTAAAACAAATATATTTAGTTAAACTTATATAGGTAAGTTACAGAGTCTACATTTTACTTTATTTTCGGTTAGATTTGTGTTTAGTATCTATTAAAAATAAAATAAAATACCGTTAACTTGAACAGCAAGATTAATTTAAAATAGTTAGATTATTATTTTGAAATGTTAAAATGTAAAAGGGCAAAGATAATCGAGTAACAAACGCCTAATCAAGAAATGCGATAACATAATAAATTAAGAAAATTATGAACTACATTCTATAAACAAATTAAGCTGTAATATTTAAAAAATTTAACTCAATAACGTTTTTTGTATAAAAATAACTAATTCTATTAAAAATATAATTGATAATGAGAAAAGTTAGTTAAAATCAACAGAAATTCCAGACAATTCACTGTATCCTAAATTAAATGTTATATCATGAACATTTTACTGAGTTTAAAAACAATATATACACTTAMTAATCTTACTATATTATGTATAAACAATTYCATTAATACAAAAATCATCAATAAATTACATACCTATATTCTATATAGCTATATTGAAATCATGCCACGATAATAGGTGCAATTCACACATTTAAAACTACATAGAGACCATATATAGCTCATTAGTTCATAATATGAGAACGCACTGGTATGGTTTGCACAATCTATCAATTGCAAAATAAATAATACCTATAGGCTATAATTATTATTGGCTTACATAATACACTACAGCATTTTATCTAACATATACCACAAATGTCAAATTAATGAAAAAAAATAGTTGGAAAACCAAAAGGCCGATAATTGCAGCCTATTTCTATGTTTAATCAAGCGACGTTTAGATTAATCTTCATTTATCTTTGACCATTGCAACCAACAAGTAATGTTATTATTACTATCCATAATAAATGTTTTTATGACCATTATTTGGGATTTGGCCCTTTTTATATTTCACGTCTGAATGCGGTGGCTAGCCAGTCATTATTTGTCTAGCCTATAGTTGTACGAGTTACCACACATCAATCAAAAAATGAATTCAAATTTAAAAAGCATAGATATCGGGACTTCGATTAAAAAAAAAAATATTTATAGATACCTATAACGTGTATACCTAAGTGTGGATGTGTCCATAACCATAATCACTCAAGCTGTGCACTCCGCGCAGTATTTAATATTTTTGAACGTATTATAATATGTTAAAGGTTAATGCACAGAATAGATTAAACATATTCTGTAGTTAAGGGCTTAAGGCAATTGCAATGTCATGGCTCAAGTGTATGACTTCGATTGGATTCGTCACGGCGGCCATCTCTGCAGTCGTTGCCTAACGTTAATCACGAAACACGATTCACGAACGACACGAACTTAGATGTACATCTCATATTATCCTATGGTAATCTTTAGAAAAGATTRCTACTTTGCTAGACMACGGCACCCGGCGCCCGCCTTTTTCCGTTGTCATTTTTGAAATTTTACCCATAAATACTATTCGTGCTCATTGTATCTACCGAGTGAATTTTGTGCGGTATCTACCGGCAATTGAACATTATCGTCGACGAATAATACAATAATCATTGTTTTAGTAATGTCGGAATTCAAGCGGAACTCGTCWTATTTCCACGGCGAAAACTACTGTGAAAACGACATCAGTTTCAGCCATGATTTAATATGGACTATCTTCAGGATTTTCAACACTGTCGACACTGAACAGTTATCGCAACCAATTATAGGTTTCAGCAAATACTAAAGCAAATACTATAATATTTGGTTACAGTTGAGTATAATATTATTATTATTATTAGCGATATCATACCTATCGGTAGCTACARCTTATATAGAACATGCGACAATAATGATAGGTCGCATGAAAATCGGAAAATGTATGCCCTTTTCATGATAACATAGTTGATAGGGGAAGATAACGGCGCCGCTCGTATCAGCCATTCAGCCACGCACACCTACACACAATGTTTTTTTTTTTTTTTTTTAATAACTTCGTGTACAACGTTCAAAGTCCAAACTTTGGCTACCCACACACAACTGTTAAGTAGTGAAAACGGTGACATTATCTAGCTGCATGATACAGTCGATCATTACGTAAAAATACATCATTAGTAACTGTGCGATGTAATCAAGTGGGTGCAAAACAATGCACTGCRGTCGTACTCGTCTGTACTTCTAAATAAATGTCTATAATATCATATTAATATTCCTGTGCATATAGACGACCGAGACGTAGTGCACATCGCCAATGATCGTCATCCAATGATGGACATCGATCCTATTATAGTGTCCACGAGCTTAGAAGCTCTAATCGGTGAGTTGAAATTGCGCAATGCATAATAAATAATAATATTATCTTTTTGACGTACATGTCGATTAGATACCGTGAATAAATACACGACTCGCTGGTTGTTTATATTATAGATAAGACATTTCTACTTTGTAAATTAATACTATTATGTAAATTATTAATCTCATAATATTATAATATAACATATAATTTAAATTACGTTTTATTGTTTTTAACCGAGATTTGGTTAAATAATTCTATAAATGATACAGAATTAGGTCTTATTAATTTCAATATAGGTATATTTTGAGTTGTTCGATGTTCTGATTTTCATAATAGAGGTGGTGGAATTTTACTGGCTATTAAAAATAATTTAGATTGCAAACTATTAGACACTATCACCATACCCCAATATTGATCAGTTATTTTGTTATGTTTAATTATAACAATATTAATCTCCTTCTTGTGCATGTGCTTATATTCCTCCAAATTCTCATCTTGATTTTTATAAAACACACTGCGAGATTGTTGAAAATCTCGTTATTAACATGGATAATATATCTCTTTGGATTATATATTAATTTTTATAATTGTTAAGCTATCTTGTTCTTGTATACTAAAAGCAGTAAAAGCTATTTAAAATATATATATATATTTAAATATATTAATTTTAGGTGATTTTAACTTAAATTAATTTTCTTCCTCAGACTATTCTTTATTTACTAACACCTCATCTCACTGCGTTGTGAACTCATATATAAACTACCTAAATATAAACCAACTAAATAATATCAAAAATAATTATGGTAGTTTTTGGATTAAATTTTCTCGAATGTTAATATTGATTCCGTATTTACTAATTATTCACTTACACTCTTATTTGATTCCCATCAACCACCCTTAGAATTTACCTATTTACTTGAAGTACCTATTTGAAATTTTAGATAAGTCCAATAATCTAGAATTATTCAATTATAACTCTTGTAAATTTATGGAGATTATTGCATTTTTTGATAATATTGATATTCTGTTTAATTTAATGAATTTAGATCTTAAAAATACTATCTTAAAGTTCTATGATATCTTAAATCATATTTTTAATTTATTTGTCCCTAGAACAAAATTAAATCTCAAATTTAACTACTCTTTGCCTTGGTCTAATTATGATTTAAGAAATTTAATTAAAGAAAAAAAACTTGCACATAAAAAGTATAAAATCTCAAATCTACACTCTGATTATTTACATTTTTCTTATTTACAAAAAAAATATAAACAATTATAGAGCTCTTTCTTTTACTAGCCAATATTATTTCCACCTCACTTGATTTTTTTTGTATGTCTCGTTATTCATTCAAAACTAGTTCTCTAATTTTACTTAATAATTTATATGAGTAAGTATCTCTTATTTAGAAATTGATTTTTATAATATTAAACAGTTTTTTCCTTTGTAAATTTTACCTACTAATTTTATTGATATTGTAATTTTATTAATGTTTTGGAAACCTAAATATATTTAGGTTTTATAAAAAACACTAAAATAACTAGTTGAACTATCAACTCTTACAAAAAAATAATATTTAACCTTTTATCTATAACCATCAAATTATGTATTTATTTCAGTTCTACAGTTAATATGTGTTTTTTATTAAATTTTATTAAAGATTTCTAACATTTGATTATCAATTGTTAATTTAATCAAATAATTTAATTGTACCTATTTATTTACTTAATATATATATAATATATACTTACCTAATCTTATTTTCCTGTGTAATAATTTGAACAAATTATAAAATAGCACATAGCTCTAGCATGATAATTTTACATCTGTAATGCATAAGCTAATATATAACTAACCGGCAACTAATCAGTACTTGGCTTATGCAAATAATATTAAGTGGTTATTGTTTTAGAAGTGTCTATAGAGACCAGAGACTATGATTTTTACTGATTGAAAATATTATTAAATACAAATATTTTCCGTGTGTAAAGTAGATACTATCTCCATTTTATAAAAATTATAATTAGGTACCTAGATAAAATATATGAAGCCATACGTAATATGGTCTTCCTAAACAATTTTTGCATAAGAGGGCGCCACATTAAATCTTAAAAATGCATAACATAGAAAATTGTACGTGCTGAATAATTGATATAACAGAGTTAAATTGATTATTCAGAACATACAATTTGTCATGTTAAGTTTTGATAAGATGGAGACAACATGTAGGTATGGCTACCTCTTAATTTAAATTGCTCTATAAATGTTTCTGGATAAAAATAGTATTTTATAATTCTTGTCAAATTAATAGTTTTAGAATGATTGAATTGATTAAAATTTAAAAATCTTTGGACACTCCTATTATTTGTAGCAATGTATTAATTATTTATATTTGTATATTTTTGTTTGCTTTTTTTTTTTATTAAAATAAACTATTGTGATTTTTTAGTTTACATTTGTATAAAAGCGCTGTGTAAGAAAAATAGTACCTATTTTGCCTTAACAAAGGGAACAAACAAATTTAATGAAAAGGAAACAAAACTTGTAGAAATACTAGAAAATTTTGAAATTTATCATGTATATTCWTATGAAGAGCCTAATTTATGTTTGTGTACAATCTCTAAACATAAATTAAATCAAAAACCATAAAAATAGCTCGACCAGTTTGATGCAGTTGAAAAAATTATCTAAGTAAGAAAGAAGAAAATAATGAATAATACATCTTAATATTTGAAATAGTACCAAAATGTCTTTTCTCTATTTCGAGACAATAATTGATGGTACTTAGTACTAATTTAAAAAAAACTAATATCCCTACAATCCGAGATCAAACTGATAACAAAAACTTGAAGAAATAGCATTTAACATCAACTAATATATTATGTACAAATCAAACTAAAGGTCGCTACACACCGCTGCAGTGTKTGGCGACCTTAACACCTCGAACAGTTATTATTTGATAGAATCATTGTCCAATAATTACTGTGATAAATAGTTAAATAATTAAGAATAATATAAAAACTAGTGTAATTTAATACCATATTAAACATTAAAAAAATAACAAATGTAATAATGTTAAATAATGTACATAACGATTACAATTAAATTAATTAATCAATTTGTAATTGATATATATACATATATATTATTATTTTAGAAAGAGCAACTAAAAATAGCAACGAAAAAATTGACAGTGCTGCAATGATTGCGTTTAGTGGATTTGTACAGAGAGATCCAGATTGTGCACCATTAGCTGCAAAGTGTATTTTAGCTAAAATTCATTCAATGCAAGAATGGGAAGCCTTACAAGCCCTTCATGTATATTTAACATTAGCAAAAAATAAATAATCTTATCTAAAATTATTTTATCATGAAATTTATTTTAGTTATTAGACATATGTATGCAGACTGGTAGTGCCAGTTTTCAAGCTGAAGTTGGAAAATTCCGTTTCCTTAATGAACTTATACGTTTAGTATCTCCCAACTGCAATGGAATTCATACACCAGAATTAATAAAAAACAAAATAATTGAACTCCTTGGATTATGGTCATCACAATTCCCCAAAGAAATAAAGATACAAGATGCCTTAGACATGTTAAAAAAACAAGGTGTAATAAAGGTAAAATTTTATAATTTAAATATTTAACAAATTTGTAATATTCGATAATTACTGCAGGATTTTTTATTTGAAAATATGCCATCAAGAGTAGCCTCTGCTTCTAAATTAGATTCTAATAAAGTTTCAATTTTGAATGGAGAAAAATCATTATTGCTGCAAAAGTTGCTTAAAAGTAAAAAATCAGAAGATCTCAAAGCTGCAAACGAATTAATTAAATCTATGGTTGAAGAGGTATGTAAAAAAAGTTCAATAATTGTAAAATTGTGATTAAATATTAATGTTCTATTATAGGAAGAACAGAAAGCAGAAAGAATTAGTAGTATGTTGGTTGATATTGAAATAACTTCAAATAATGTTAAATTGCTATCAGAAATGCTCAAATCATATTGTGATGGTTCTGGTTCGTTAAATGATTTAGAACTTATTAAAGAATTATATACTACTGTAAAACAACTGGAACCAAAAGTTCAAACAATGTTATCACTAGAAATTCCAGAAAATGAGGATACTGTTAGTAAGTATATTTATTGTGATTTTGTTTGGTTAATTTGGTCAAGAACTAACCTATAAACAGATTTTTGTGATTTCTGTATTTAATCTTTTGTTATAATATGTAAGTTGTTATGCTTGTAGTGCTTGTACTAACTACTAAGCTGAATAAATTGCAAATATTTTTAGTTGGTTTTTAACTATGACCTTTTTCATAAAAACTTATTGTTCTTCATTTATTTATGAAAATTATACATAGATTCCATCAATTAAGTTCTCACTAAATAATAAATTTAATTATATTCTTAGAAAAAAATATTTATCTTTATATTATGTTACAACTTTCTAAACAATAAATTTATTTTTACAGGAAAAATAATTAAACTTAATTATGAAGTAAAAGAAACATTAAAAATATATAATGAAGTTTTAGATAATCTCAACCATGAAAAACCAACCAATCAAGAAAATGATGAAAATTTGTTAGACCTTAGCATATCATCTGCTTCTCCTGGTAAAATAAATTTGCTTATTAGATACACAAATTAAACATTTATATTATATTTTTAATTTTATCATTCTTTTGCAATAACTACTTTATTTCTATTAAAATAATTTGGTTTTGTATAATATAGACAGTTATTAATTTCCAATACTAAACTACATGGTTTAAAACCAATATTGAAAAGTAAAATTATATTAATGCGTGACTTGTTGTTTCAATTATTAATTATAGGGAAAAAATACTTTTTAAGTGAATCTAATTGTGAAAGGAATAATTTTTCAAATAATGGATCAGTGAATATTAATGAACTAGATGATTTTTTGCAAATGTCACATCCTTTAAAAGAATTTAATCCTCCGCAGCCTGGTAAGTATACTCTACAATATATATATATGGTTCATTTTTGTCCATATCTAGGTAAAATAAAATTGTAACATCCATTTTTTAGAAGTTGTAAATCCTCAAAAACCTGAAAAAATTAAGGACAGTGTGTTAAATGTAGACCTATTTGAAGAACTAAATATTCTTGGAAAAGTTATTTTGAATAAACCTAATGAAACTAAAACAGTTGAAAAGTTAGTTGTTTTTCTATAATTTTAGGTATATATATATTTGCACTAATCATAAATGTTTATTGTTTTACAGACCATTTAATTTGACAGACCCAGAATTAAGTTCAGATGATATTAAAAACAATGGTCTATCAGAAGAACCATTTTTAGGCACACAAGATTCAGTGTTATTTGAACCAAAAAACTATAGTCTTCAGATAAAGCCTCTTGGAGATATTAATATTGAACTTGAAAACATTATTCCATGTACGTACAAAGATTTAAATTTTCAAATTTTTAAATTAAATAATTCATCAACCATCAATCTCATCAAATGACTCCAAAATTTAAACTTTAGAATATTTTATAATTTTGAAATATAATTTATATCTATAAAATTTGATGATATTTTTAAGTATAAATCTAATCTTATTTTAATCTAATTACTTTATTTTAAAATTATTTAAGATCCTGACTCCGTCATTGTGAGCTTATTTGATAAGAATGGTATTAGTACAGAACTACATTTAGCAACAAATAAACCAAGAGAAGATGTTACCGTTTTTGTTGTTACAACAAGAAGCAAATGTAAACTACCAATATTTAATTTTTCATTCCAACCGGTTGTTCCAAAAGTAAAATATAAACATATTCAATTTATAAGCAATGATATGCTATAATGTATGTAATATTATTATTTTTATTTTTGTTAGGACTGTAGGTTACGTATATTACCGCAATCAAGAACCAGTCTTCCTATTTATAATGCATTTTTACCGCAAGAAACTATTGTGCAAATCATACTAGTTGCAACTCTAAATAAAGTTAGTTTTTTGTATAAGTGATAATTTTTCTAAGTATTAATTTTGATTGAATTACTTTTAGGAAATTATACCTTTGAAATATGTAATAAGTTATACAATGGATGGTGAAATGTTTACTGAATTTGGTGAAACTGAACAGCTCTGCATAAACTAAGGTTATGAATATTCTGATCTCACAAAACTTATTTCAAAAAGATACCTAGTATATGTTTTGATTTAATTTCCATACAATTTAATTTATATTATAATCAAACTATTTATTTTACAACTAATAATATTAAGTTATATTTAATGTTAAAAAATTATTATTATTATTAACATTTAATACCTCTTCAAATAATAATTATTAAGGAATTATAATATGATGTTTTATTTGAAAGTCATACACTAGTCATTAAAAAAGTATTAAATGGTTGAATTTATGAATATTTATGTTAAAACAATACTGAATTCACATTTGCTATTTAATACTTAACTTTACCAATAAAATCTAGTCAGTGAATATACAATATTATAATTATGTATTTTAAATTTTAAAATGCAATTTTATGAACTATTATACTAAACATTATTTTTTTAAATAAACATTAAATACCATAAGTTATTATTGTATTTTTGATTTGTATTAATTTTAATTATTAACAGTGAAACCATTGGACTGAGGCATATCTATGAAAATTATATTTTACAATGGTTTGGATTTTGACCTACAAAAAAAAATATTAAACCATTAAAACCAAATACCAAAACTGCATGACTTATATTGTGGTAGTCACATAAAAAGTACATTTTGTCCCTTGATCACTTTTTGCCTGATGGTGATGATATGCTACATAACTTTTTAATTACAATAACACCATATCCAATAAATAGATAATTATTGTAATTTATAGATAAAAATTAGAAAGAAGATTTAAAGCTACTAACATATATTTATTGACTTTTATGCAGTTCAACAGGAATGAAAATGTGGATGACTTATTCAGTACAAAATTTGAAGAAAAATATATTTTGCATATTAAAAAATATTTAGCATATATTTCACATTTAGGAATAAACTTTTTGTTCATAAAAAAACCCTAATTGTTTATTTCTCAACATCAAGTTGTAAATATTTCGTCACATGAAAAAAAAAATTATCCTAAAACCTAAAAATGATAGAAATTATGTAATAACTTGTTTGTTATTAAACTGAAAATTGCTGAGTAATAATATTATATAATGTTGTTTTTTAAATTTTTTGGGCGTGTGCCTTGTACACAGATTTTCATTTTAAAGGATGGTTCTATCTTTTAATTTTTTTTTATTTTAAAAGGCATATTTACAATCTATACGATTTGCACAATAAGTAAATTTAAAAACATAGGTAATTATAATAAAAGTATATAATGTCTTGAGGGGGGAAAATCGTCCATCAACAGTACCTCCTATTTGATTTTGTGGGTTCATATGTTATGGAGACAGTTTTTTTTTTTGTTATGCAAGAGCGTATCTTTGTCACTTTCTTTTTAACCTCCTCGGAGAGTTATTGGGGAGGGTAATAGAGAACATGCAGAAAATTAGAAAATTAGAGGGTTTTGGTTTGAGTGCAGTTAGGAGTGGAACTTTTTGTATTGTCGAGTTTCTATTTCGTTGACTGTTGGGATTTGTAGATCCTTATGTAATACGTCATTGGTCATGGTATCATGGGGCTCCAGTTGTTTGAGAAATATAGACTGGAAAGCTTGTATGGGTCTTATATTGGATGGTTTGGCTTGGCCCCAGATTTGAATACCATATATGACCAAAGGGGGGTAATAGTCGTCTTGTAATATTTTGTTTTTTTAATTCATTGAAGAGGACAATAATGGACGGAGGAGATGTAGACGTGTGTTTGACTGTTTTCTTTTCTGTTTTGTGTGTTGGGCCAAGGTTAGGTGGAAAGTTGTGGACAATCGTTTTTATTCGGAGAAAAATTTATTTGAACTGATTTTTATCGTTCATTTTAACTTTCCATTTTTGAGTCCAATTGGAGATTAGATTTAAATAGTATTGACGGTATTGCATATCGTGGGTGGCCATGTTGGGTCTTTGTTGGATGCTAGTATAGCAGTATCGTCTTCGTCTGTATGTTTCTATCTTTATTATAGAAAACTGAATCTTAGTTTTATTTTCCAGAGGTAAAAATAGAAAATTCTCGGAACTTTCTTAGATTATTGGTAAAAACAGTATTTTGATATACTGCAGTTATATGATTTTCTATTTATAATTTTAAAATTATGTCAACTTTTTTGAGGCATTTATAGAAATTTTCTATAAATGCCGATAAAAAAAAAATTATCAGATAAAATGCTTTAAAATTCATTACAATGTTTATGTATATCAGTAGTGGATCTGAAGATCATTAGAGGAGGGGGCGAATTGGTATCATAGATTGATAGGTAATAACAAAGACGTAACTGAATACATATTTCCCAAGGTATTTCCCATTATCATATTATTAAAAAAAAAGACGTTTTTTTGTATCATTTATTGATAAATTTAATGTTATAGCTATGACATGAATTTCATGTTCATTTTATTATACTGCGCTATAATTTAAGTAAAAAAAATCCCTAGAGAGGGGTAATCGCCACGTCGCCTCCCCTCAAATCCGCCACTGATGTATATTAAATAAATGTAATACAAGTTACAACGTTTCTTATAATGATATACCTTTTTTTTTTCCGTTCAAAAACCGAAAACGAGTGGGAATGTTTAGCACAATACTGCAACCCATCATATAATGATATACCTATTAGCTTCCTTGATAGTTGATATATACCCAGGGCCATATCTATGCAAGGACAAATAGGAGGACATATTTTGCACTGGGCTCTCTTGGCCGACTTCAGCCATTTAAAATTAATAATATACCTACCGTCTTATCATATTTAGGGTAAACACAATTTTACTTGGATATTTTGGTGGGTTATAAAGTAAAATGGGGATTTCGCGAAAACGATGGCTTTAATCATCATTACGGATAACAAAATCTACTTATCGTCATAATATAATATACTATTGACATTGACTTGCGTGCATTCAGTCCCGTGAATGACTAATAATTGTATTTATTGAATATATTTATTATAGTAATTTGTTAATTATTTTGAAATTTTTAATAGTTTAAAATGTCAAAAAAATACTTAAATGGTTCAATGAAGAGAAATTAAAGGGTAAACGAGATCAAGGAACAAAAAACATACAAAAGTAGTTTGGATAAATTTACGTTTAGAACTAATTTATCTATTAGCACACAATCGTCAGGTATTAAATTTTTAATAACAATAATATGAACTATGAAGTAGCCAAGTAGGTATTGAAGTCATACTGTTATATTTACTATAATTTTTATAAATTATCACAAATTATTATTTTTAGAAACTGACGTAGCTGAAAAATATACCAATGAAGATTAAATTACTGAAATTGAAAAATCTGTTGAAGTCTATGGTACTATTCTAGCAATGGTGCCAATGGTGGGAATAATTAACTTGTTAAAAAGTTAAATTCAAGTTAAAAATGTATTTATTTAAATTTTTTCTAGTTAATTATCTTTATTGTACAGTTAAGTTAATTACATTTTTTTTTATCACGTGGAACCRACAGACAAAACTTAATCTTTCGATTATGGTAATTTATTTTTCTAATAATATAATAGGTGTCATACATTTTTAATAATCAAATTATATTTTAATCTATATGTACCATAGTAAACAGTAACAATTAGTACGTATACTATCTTTTGTATGGAATGGCTATTTTTACGAGTTCTATTAACGATTTACTTGGTATTGAATAATCCAATTTTTAAAAATATATTATACGTACATTTTTATTTTAGGATTGAATAAAATAGAGATTGAAAATTTCCTAAGCTAAGCTAAGCACAGTTGCAAAATGTTACAACTTTTGCGTTTTGCCGCAAACATAACACTGTTATAATCAATGAGTAATGACTTTTCTTCAATGTATTTTTAAACACACGACGACGGCATGATAATGACTAAATGACGTAATAATCACAATATTCAACCGAAGATTCGAAATCACCGCGCAAACACGACTCGTCCATTACATCGCGGTAACCAGTAGTAGTAACCGTAACCAAGGTACAGGCACAGTGGCGCGACGCGGCATCATTACCACAATACCGTCACCAACATCCACCGGTCACACGAGTGGCCCTGGCCCCTGGGCATGTCCGTTCCACCGACTACAAGGGAATCGACAACGACGACAACTTCAGCAGGCGTTCCGAACACGTTGTTTCGACCCTTAACCTGTTTCATTTCTGATTTAATAATCGTTTTAAATATGCCCAGACAACACGAGTACTGACTTCTGAGTACTGAGTAGTGTCAGTCACAGACGAGCAGCCGACGGACGGAAGATTCCGCCCGAAGACGTCCTTCCACCGTATTCACGCTGCACTACACTACAAGGAAATGGTGAGTTAAACCATACTTAAACAAATATAATTTCATTTCGATTTTTTTCGTCTTCGCCCCACAATAAACGCGCACGATCATTCGGTGATTATGCACCTACCTCATCGTTGGTCCGTGAAACACGTTTTTTCTTGTCTTTGGTCGAGACCGAATTCGTAGCCCGGCGCGTGCTTACCGCACTTTTCTCTAACTTAGGTTCACGTTTTCTAGGTTTTTCTCCGTGTTGGAAAACCTATCAAGCTCGTTTGTTATTGTCATATGGTGAGTGTATGCGTGTGTGTGTGTGTGTGCGTGCACGCGCGTTTCTAGGCTTGATGGTTAAATCTTGACCGGACACGCTATTTTATTTTTCCATTACGACTGTTGCATAATCACCGTCCCCGTTACACCAGTTGTCATTTCGCGTAGATGGCCAATAAAATGTCCGTTACACCACGCACAATATAATATATATACATATACTTGCATTTACGTAGTTAAGTCCGTAGCCTGTGCCGAACTAATACTATTTGTTTTGTTACGCAATCTTGTCCTGCCGTTTCCTTCCATCTTCAGTCAAATTGATAATGGCGGACGATTTTGACATAGAAGCATTGCTTGAAGCACCCTATAACAAAAAAGAGCCAGAAGCTCAACCAAAAGAAAGTAACGGCACTGAAGAAAAATCACGTAAAGACAAGTCTCGTAAAAGTCGCCATCGTACTAGATCTCGATCGCGCGACAAGGCTCGCAAACATAGTCGGTCCAAAGATGACCGCAAGCATCGACGAAAAAGTCGTTCTAAA